TCCGGTTCATACATAATAGACTATGTTCGATGTTAATCTGCGAAACCCGTTGCTAGGATACTATAATCTATAACTTAAAAGTATCGTTTAAAGGTAAAGCTGTTTCGAAATTAGTAAGCGGTTTTTCGGTTGCCCTACAGTTATTCATTTTCCTTAAAGCTTAACCTGATCTTAAGAGAACAGTGGCGCAAACTTTCATCAAAAATGTTGCCAAGTTTCACAGTGTTCGACAACTACCTTCTCGTTTTTGAGTTACCGGGTCCCATAGGCACCTTGCGCTGCATTTTCACTTTTATACCTTTTCCGGGAGCGACATTTTCTGTTAGTCTTATAACTAAAGATCGAACAGTTTAATGCCGCATTTTTGGTGTTTTAAATGAACTACGAATGTTTTTTTTTCTTCCCTCCCAACAGACGGTGTCAAGTTTCTCCGAGAAATTCCTTCCTTATTCCAAGATTAGAAAAACAATGAAGCATTTTCTCAAACCAATACTGAAAACCACACCCCATAAACTTTTGTGGGGGTATGAGGATAAGATGTTGAAGCTTTGTAACCGCTTGGCCCCGAATTTGTGCACAATGACTGCAATCGGATTGCTACTCGGCGTGAGTGGCAAAAATTATTTTATTTATGAATATTACTATGCTGCGTAGCACCTGAGGGTAACGTGCCAAAACATAATTAACTTGTTTTTTTTACAGCGGTGCACCAACCCCTTTTGAACTGAAATTTGACGTATTTGGTTGTACGAAAAAGTCGTACAGGCAAGGAAAAAGAAGGAAACTGATTAAGCACTCTGCGCTTTCAACCTCTTGTAGAAGTTCGTCATTAGAAACAGCAGAAGCAGCAGAAGATGTCTCAATTATAGAGGCACTTTCCCAATCAGCGAAGTGTGGAAACGGCTGTATTGAGTTCTGTATGCCAGCAAAAAGTGATATATCGATTGATTGATTAAGAACGCTTTCGCGAGCAAGGTTTAGAGTGAGAGTCTACCTGTCTCCTTTTTGACGTAGGTGATTATCTGTCTAGTTTTAGAGTCGAACTTCAGATCAGTTTCGAAATTGTGGGCACCCCTATG